CAGACTCGCGGATTAACATTGACTCTCTGGAGCATCAGTCTAAGGTATTCACCACTGGTTCACAGAGCATTAAAATATGTGATCTCAGCAGTTCTTGTCCTTTAAAACTGACTGCCTGGCTGTGTCTGTGCAGGTGCCTCTCTTTCCTTTTTTACCTTTCCTCAATAAACTTGCCATATGCTGATGATTGGGAACATCTGCTGAATTCTTTCTCAGAGGGACCCAAAAACCTCCTTACTGCCACCACCACGCCGCCCCCCCCCCCCCCCCCCCCGTCCCCTCTCAAGAGTGTCATCTCCAGTAACAGCAAAAAAAAAAAAAAGGGAGATGCAGAGGCTGCGTATTGCTTCACACTGCTGTATTTAACCCTTTGCGCAACCAGGGAGTCCCGGAGACAACACTCTTAATCATGTTGTCTCCACATATGAAGACCTTCAGTCTACTTTCCATCTCTACCCATCCAATTCCACCCATCCTAGAAACTCTGCCATCTCTTTTTAGGAGCAGAGAACTGCAGAGAGAACTGCTTAAAGATTTATTTCACAACACAGTTATCATGAATTAAACTTCTGGTTACACAGTTACCATGACTGCTTTGCGGAAAGAGCCTCCATGATCCATTCCTCTTTGGTTGACAAGTTTAGGAAGCCAGGCTTGTCTGTCTTTAAGTTGCAGAAGGTGAAAGAAATTCTTGTGATAGGCAGCAGGCTAAGAGGTTTAATGTTTTATTTCCAGCCAGGAATGTTGTTGCATAATTGGAGTTCAAATCTACGGAATCAAAATCTTTACTGCTTCTGCTACTAAAAGTACACACTCCATCAGGATATTCCCTATCTTTTCATACTCAGAGCAGAAGACAAAGTTACAGAAGTTTGCCTTTTGAATATGATAACATTTAGTGATGTATGCAGTTCTTTCTAAATATGTGAATGGATTTACATTGCTATATCCATTCTCACACCTACTCACACTTTGAACAATTTGAAAAATGGTTGGCTGCCATTACTGAGGACACACTGTGGTTGAAGATTAGTGATATTAATGGAAAGTTGTTCTGAAAGCAAGAAGGAAGCAGTCACTATTAAGCAAAATGAATTTTGTGGTAATGAAAAGCACTAGAAGTTGGAGGCAAGGCTCTGGTCCTGACACTGCATTAACAGCTCTGTGATCATGGACAAATCAAATCACCTCTCAGCCTTGGGGTAAGAAGGGAATAATAACCTTTTTGCACAAAGACAGGGAGTAGACCAAATAATCTCAGAATGTTCCTGTAAAAAGTTTTGGGGAGCCCCAATCTCAGTTGAGGTAGTGTTTACTGTGCTTATGGGATGGTGAAAATGCTAACAAGTAGCACAAACAGCCACAAACTCGTCACCATCAGATGCATCACTCACTGAATACACTATTCAGTATTCATCTGCACCTTTTTGGCTGAAATGCATAGACAAAGCAGTAATTTAATTCTCAAAGTGTAGTTCCCATTGCCAGAGGTACCAGCATCATCTGAGACTTGTTAAAAATGTAAATCTGGGGCCACACCCCAGGCCTATTTAATCAGAGACTCAGAGAATTGGACCAATCTAGGAATTCTGCCCTCTAGTAATTCTGACACAGGCTGAAGTGTGGGAACCACGGGTGTAATATAAAATTATTCAACTTATGACTGAAGCTACCATTTATTAGGGCTGAACAGAACAAGATAAATGATGCAGAACATAGCTTCCAAAATTTGTTCAATTCCTAAAATTTGTGTGGCTATAGCCACACATAAAAAAAAAAAAAAACACACAAAAAACAACGAACAGTACATTATTCCTAAGACCCCCCAGCATTTGTATGTTAGGGGCTATTTTTAATTATTCTGGAGCCCTTGAGTGTGTTAGCAAGAAAAAGACTTTATAGGCCTCCCTGGTAGTCTAGGGGTTAAGCCTCAACGCTATCACCCCGATAGCCTCAGTTAGATCCCAGGCCAGGGAGCAAACCCCCATATGGCACAGCAGACCTCCCCTATCTTGCTCGCTGCTACCCTTAGAAAAAAAGAGTATTAATGTAGACCTACCCACCCCACAATTTTACTGATTATTTTCAAAAGATCACAGCACTTTCCTGGGTACTAGGAATTATCTCATTGATTGACAATTATGATGGTGATTACGTGAGTGGATAATTATGAGAGGATTATGATGCCTTACTACAGACTGTGATCTTGTAAGTACAATCTTATAAATGTCTATTTCTCAAGGAGACAATCCTTGCAGGAAATACTAGTTTCAGAGTCAGCTCTGGTGCCATCAACTCCGATTTGAACTTTTGTGAACTTTAAGTTTCTCATCTGTATATTTGAGGATTGGGTCTAAGGATCTTCAAGTGTCCTTCCAGAATCTAAAATTATGTAATTCTAGGGGTTCTAGTAACTTAAAATTTTCTATGTTCTAAATTTGTAAGAAAGAAAAATTATAGACAAATCTTTCAAGAAGAAATTTTAAGTACATATCATTAACTTAGCCCAACCTTATTTCATCTATAGTGCCAATGCTGTACAATGATTATGAGAGTTCAGAATTCTATTCTGAGAGAACTGTAAGAGGCTTAATCAAAAGGTTTATGCTATGGGGCCTCCCCGGTGGCGCAGCGGTTGAGCGATGGGTTGCAAAGCTGCCCGTAGCCTCTGCAGCGCCGGTTCTATCCCTGGCCGCTGGGCGAGGGTCCCACATGGCACGCAGACCTCTCTGCCGCCAGCTGCTCCCCTCAGCAGTGTACTTCGGTCCTTCTGCCTGTTCTGTTCCCTGCTCTGGCTCTGGTGAATTCTCTCACCCTCCCACGCTTCTGACTGTACCCACTGCTTGTATAAATAAATAAATAAATAAATAAATAAATAAATAAATATTAAAAAAAAAGACTTTAAAAAAACAACAAAAATTATTTAAAAAAAGGTTTATGCTATGGTTATTATAATCCTACTGCTGGGTATTTTATTCCATTCTAATTACAAAAACATTTGCTCATGCATATATGCTATATAACAATTTCCATATAACAACATATGGAATAAATTGGAATATTCAACTTTTTGCTTATTCTGATGAAGTGGGATTTCAGTGACTTTCTCTTCTGAGGGATTCAATAAGTTTTCATTTCTGGCAGTTCATTAACATTACTGAAACTTTGGATGACAAGGATAAAAATTATTGTCTCTAGGTAATGGATAGGCATATGAAATCAGAACAACTTAGAATTGGAAGAAACTTTAAAGTTTAACTAATCAGGCCCTTTATTTTTTTAATTTTTTAAAATTTTTTTTGTGGGACCCTCGCTGGTGGCTGGGGATCAAACTGGCGCTGCAGAGGCTGCGGGCAGCCTCGCAACCCAGCGCTCAGCCGCTGCGCCACCAGGGGAGGCCCTCAGGCCCTTTATTTTACAGATGAAAAAAGTGAAATCCAGAGACAGTAGAGGCCAGAAATTTGGAGATTGTGTTATTAAGAGCTGGAGTAAAACACTAGGCCACTTTATCCCCCAATTTATCTTTCAACAGAACCCCCTCCCCCAGCAAATGTTCATGCCCAATATTTCAGATGAGCTAGATAGGAAAAGTCAAGTTTATTTAGGATTTACCTATGTGGGGGTGTCTTTCTCCCAACCCCAGTGGAAGGCCTAAATTCAACTCAACTATAGAATCTAAAGACAATTGTCTGAAGGAGTTACTAGATGAAAGAGTTACTAAATGAATAGAGGTGCAAGACCCCTCCCTAACACTGACAATGAAGTGTGTTTGAAATAGCAGTAACATCTTCCATGAGACACTTTTTAATCATTAATATTCATATTGTTAAAATGTTCAGGGAGTCTGCTTACAAACTCCTTCATATTAGAAAGTTAAACAGGACCTCCCTCATGGTGAAGGGATTAAAGTCTCAGCGCTATCAAGCTATCGCCAGCCTCTGCGGTTCACCCACTGCTCCCTGTAGCAGTGTTTTTCAGTAGATCCACCTGTTCTGCTCCCCACTCTGTCTCTGGTGAATCCTCTTACCAACCCCGACCTCTGGCCTACACCCCAGTTCTTATATGCATAGGTAAATAAAAATAAATCTTAAAAAAAGAAAGTTAAATAATTCTAAATATAATCAGTAAACAAAGGAAGAAAAGGAATGAAGGAAGTGTGTGTGTATGTGTGTGTGTGTGTGTGTGTGTACACACGTGCATGTGCATGAGAGAGGGAGAAAGAGAGAAAGAGGAGGTAGGCAGAGAGAGAGAACAGATTAGTACCTATCTATTAAGCAATAATGTTCAGTAATGTTATTACTCTGGCTGGAAGGAGCAGATTAAGGAGGCAAAGCCAGGAAGAGCATTGTTCCAAAACTGTTATCAATTAACAGCCTTCTCCTCATTGCACATCCAATAAAATGAGATTGCAGAGATTCACTGAATCAACAAGACTTTGGTTGTATATTGGTGGTAGAGAATAAGAATCAAGAGACTCACGGGGCCTCCCTGGTGGCGCAGCGGTTGAGCGCTGGGTTGCGAAGCTGCCCGCGGCCTCTGCAGCGCCGGTTCAATCCCCGGCTGCTCCCCGGCCACCAGAGGGGGGTCCCACATGGCGCGCAGACCTCTCCTGCCGCCCGCTGCTGCCCTCAGCAGTGTATTTCGGTCCTTCTGCCTGCTCTGCTCCCTGCTCTGGCTCTGGTGAATTCTCTCACCCTCCCGCACTTCTGACTGTGCCCAGTGCTTGTATAAATAAATAAATAAATAAATCTTAAAAAAAAAAAAAGAATCAAGAGACTCACAAAGAGATCAAATATGCTTCGCTAGAGTGAAAAAAAAATCATAGCAATTTCTACAATATATCTGGAAGGACAAGGTGCTGAAGTCAGTTGTCTGAGAATAGGCATGAACGGTGGTGGGGGCAGTGAGGGAAAGGGAAGGAAGAGAGAAGGGGAGAGATTTAATTCAAGCGGTGTTGCTAAGCCACAACTAAACGGGCCAGTCCTAAATGATAGGCTCACCTCTCAATCTGATGGAAATAGCAATTCTCTTCTGAGAAGTAATGCCCCACCTTTGGAGAAAAAAAGACATCTGTTCCTCTTTGCTGTAGGTAAGTTCCATATATTCCTTGTGCAGTTCTGGAAGATAAGAACATTTTCATAGCCTAAATAATGCATAGGTCAAATCTTGTAACCCCAAAATACCACTGAGATTTGGGCAGCTGTGAGTCAAGGAGTTGGGCTTACAAGCTAAGCATAGCAAAAGTTGGGAATAGGGGCAATTTAAAAGCAGGGTCCTCTGCCAGGGAGTATGTGGAAGCTGATAGTCTTGAACAGGAGTCTGGCTGTTTCTGTAAAGGGCCAGAGAGTAAATATGTTAGACTTGCAAGCCACAGGGTTTTTGTCAGTTACTCTTCTGCCCATGAAAAGCAAAAGCAACCACAGACATACAAAAATGAGTGTGTCCATGCTCTAATCAAAACTTTATTTGGGGGTAATGAATCTGGAACTTCATATAATTCTCACATGTCATAGAATATCATTCTTTTGTAAAATTTATTTTTAAATATTCAAAAATGAAAACCCTTTCCTACTTCATGAGTCATATAAAAACAGGCAGTAGGCCAGATTTGACCCACAGGTTATAGTTTGCAGATTCATGGTCTAGAATAACACTGTCTAAAAGAAATATAATGAGAGCCACATGTATAACTTAAAATATTCTAGTAACTCCATGTCAAACTAAAAGGAAACAGGTAAAAATAATTTAATAATTTTTATTTCACTCAATTTATTCAAAATATTACTTCAATGTTGTCAATATAAAAATTACCTATAAGGGCCTCCCTGGTGATGCAAGGGCTTAAGCACCACACTATGAAGCAATCCGCAGCTCTACAGCACAAGTTCTATCCCCGGCCAGGGAGCAACCCACATAGCGCAGCAGACCTTTCCTAACTGGCCTGCTGCTTCCCTCAGCAGTGTATTTCACTCAGTCTGCCTGTTCTGTTCCCCACTCTGTCTCTGGTAAATCCTCTCACCCCCTGCATCTCTGGCCTGTACCCCAGTTCTTGTATGCATAAATAAATAAATCTTTAAAAAAATAAAAATAAATAAAAATTACCTCTGAGCTATTTTACTTTTTCACACTATGTTTTCCAAATCTGGGGTGTACTCTATACCCATAGCACATATCATTCATTCTGGCCATATTTCAAGTGTAAAATAGCTACATAAGGCTAGAGGTTACCAGTTGGACAGTTTAAGTCTAGAACAGCACTGTCAAACTTTAGCTTGTATCAGAATTGTCTGGAGGGTTGTTAAAGTACAATTTGGTAGGTCCCACACATAGGATTTTTTATTTGGTAGGCTTGGGCAAGTCCCAACACTTACATTTCTAACAAGTTCCTAAGTGGTGTTGATGCTATTAGTCAGGGAACCACAGTTTGAGAACCATTTGGCTAGAAGCTGGAACAGTGAGAAAAAAGTAAAAAAGCAATTAGGAACCAGGAATACAGAAAAAATGAACACGAAACAATAATGAGATGCCACTACACACCTAACAGAAGAGATAAAATTCAAAACACTGACAACACCAAATGCTGGCGAGGAAGAGGAGCAACAGGAACTCTCATTCATTGCTGGTGGGAATGGAAAATGATACAGCCATGGTGGAAGGCAGTTTGACAGTTTCTTACAAAGCTAAACATACTTTTATCATACAAGTCAGCAATCATGCTCCTTTTGTCAAATTAAAGACATGTCTACACAAAATGCCTCTGTGTGTTTATAGCAGCTTTATTCATAATTGTCAATGTTCAGAAGCAACCAAGATATCCTTTAGTAGGTGAATGGATAAATGAACAGTGGTACAACCAGACATGAAACATTATTCTGCACTAAAAAGAAATGAGCCATCGAGCCATGAAAAGACACACAGGAAGTTTTTTTTCTGATCTACTGGTTACAGAAGACATTTTATTTTATAGTCTGCGGATTCCTCAAATTAGGAGGAACTTAAAGGCCGACAGGAAATTTATAAAATATATCTTTTTAAAGTATCTTTTTTGGTGGCATGGTCCCATGAGCCTTTTCTAACATCTGGTTTCAATAAAACACTGAGAAAATGGAGGGCAATGGAGCAGATACTTAGAACTCTTCATTTTACATTCAAAACCCTACTTCAATGTCTACATCACCTTTTAAGTATCAAAAATACTCCCATTAAAATCCATTCAAGAGCCTCCCCGGTGGCGCAGCAGTTGAGCCCTGGGTTGCGAAGCTGCCCGGCAGCCTCTGAAGTGCCAGTTCAATCCCCGGCTGCTCCCCGGCCACAGGGGGAGGGTTCCACATGGCGCGCAGACCTCCCCTGCCGCCCGCTGCTCCCCTCAGCAGTGTACTTCGGTCCTGCTGCCTGTTCTGCTCCCCGCTCTGGCTCTGGTGAATTCTCTCACCCTCCCGCGCTTCTGACTGTACCCAGTGCTTGTATAAATAAATAAAGAAATCTTAAAAAAAAAAAAAGTTATCTGCCGTCTTCATTCTTAAAAAAAAAATAAATAAATAAAATAAAATCCATTCAAGACATAAATAGGTTATACTTAGAAAAAGACCAAAATATAACAAGATGTAAAAGAACATTAATTCTGGCCTTTGAAGGGACAGGAATTTGCCATAGGAAATGTACCATAGTATTATCTTTTAAGAAAAAAATGATTTATTTTATTTATTTATGCATACAAGAACTAGGATGTAGGCCAGAGGCACAGGGAGGTGGTGGGGTGGTGGTGAGAGGACTCACCAGAGACAGAGTTGGGCACAGAGCAGGCAGATCTACTTAAATACCTGCTGAGGGGGGGCATCAGGGGAGACAGGAGAGGTCTGCGGCGCCATGTCGGTCAGTTCCCTGGCCGGGGATTGAACTCATAAATAGTGGCTGGTGATAGTTTGATAGTGCTGAGACTTAACCATTGTGCCACCTTAGTATTATCTTTAATACTAAGTATCAAGCAAAAACATTTACTTAGCAAAGGTAAATGAAGGTCTCATCTCAAGTTAAGTAGAAACCTATACATTTCCTAGAGCACAGACTATGAAAGAGTGCCTAGAACCCCACCCAACAGAAGGTGAAGAGCATAAACAAATTTATTCCTACAAAGGAAGAAATTATAGAAATAATGGGAGACAGAAGGACAAACACTAATTTGAGTACCCAAAAGGGAGAATTTCAAATAGCTCTGATAAGGAGCATTTTATATGATTTCCAACAAACTACTAGAGGTTGAGAAACCATATCTGCCAATCCAGTTAATTTCAGAAGGTACAATCAAAGGAATTTAGTCCCTCAAATCACAGAAAGCTATGAAGAATTGTATGGTTTGAATTGTAGCAGGTTTGCAGCCCATTTAAGTCATTGGACCACTAGTCCACTAAAAAGCTGGAAAAACAACTTGTTTAATACAGTTGAGAACATTTATAAAAATTCTTCAGTAATTTTAATTACAACTGACTTGGAATTATGATTGCTTTCTACGGAGGATTAATTCAGAGTTTTCTCGTTGGCACTTAGGTCATATCCCCTAAAACATATTGAACTTTCAAAACAAAAGTGCTTTATTTGAACTCAAGTTTTGCATGGGAGCATAATGAAATCATATTTATTTCATCAAAAGAATTATAAGGGGCGGTGTAATGACTTATTCAAATGATGACACCAATGATTTTTTTTTATAAACTACCAGATCCTTTAATTAAATAATGTGTTCAAGTCAATAAATGGTAGCCTGACACCATAAACATTAACGTAGCATCCCAAATTATAAACTTTTGTTCAAGGTTTTGGGAGAGGGGGATTATATATTAAATAGTAACATCAGACTATCCACTCAAGTGAATTCATAACTAAAATTGTTAATAACAACCATGAAAGAAATAAAGCATTTATAAAATGTGTTTTGAATACATGCAATATCACAGCCCTGTAATATGAGGTGGGATTACAAAACTAGGAAAAATGAACAAGGAACCAGCTCTCGATGTGCTTACATCATACTGTAAAAATTCCTAAGATAATATAATCTAATGACTATAAGAAAAGGAATAGTTTAAAACACCAGTTTTCTCATTTATTCAATGAAGATAATAATTTCAACTAACACATAGGTTATCATATGATCAAACGAAGCAATGCATGTAAAGTATTTATCTGAATGGTTGGCACATGAGATATACACACAGATGGTAATCAGCTTATGAATATGTCAATCCAAGCATGTCCACATGTACAAATTTATAAGTATAAATTTAGTTTACTTATTTTAGATATTTATTTATATAGAGTTTTATTGTATTTTGACTATCTCCATAATCATTCTTTCTGATATTGTGCTTCTATCACAATTTAGCACAAAGAAACTAATGTTTAGCATATGTAACATGTAAAATTTGGCATAGCAGATTGAAAATAGGTATGTATTACTGATAAACTGACATGCTAAGTTAAAAGTTAGAGGTCATATAGTAGGAATCATACCCATAATAGGTAGCTCTTTTAGATTAGCTTCTTAACAATAAGCATGTAATGTTCCTCTATGTCTTTTCTTTTTTTTTTATATATAATAAATTTTATTTTTATATTCCCCATACAATTGCAACCCCCCATTCTGATCCCAATCCCTCCCCTCCCGCCCACCCCCCCAAAAGTGTCTCTGTTTCATAGTTTTTTGTTGATTCTGATTTTCACTTTCTTATAGTTATTCATTTTCCTGGTCCCTTATTTAAGTTTTCTAGATTCCTGCTATGAGTGAGACCATCCGCTATTTTTCTTTTTCTTTCTGGCTTATTTCACTGAGCATGATCCCTTCCAGCGCCATCCATGTTGCTGCAAATCGCATGTGTTCACCTTTTTTGAACGCTGAGTAATATTCCATGGTGTATATGTACCACATCTTCTTGATCCAGTCATCTATTTTTGGGCATTTGGGTTGTTTCCAAAGCTTAGCTATTGTAAACAGTGCTGCTATAAACATAGGGGTGCAGGTGTTCTTTGGAATTGATGTTTCTGTGTCCTTTGGGTAAATACCTAGGAGTGGAATTGCTGGATCATATGGAAGCTCTATGTTTAGTAGGTCCAGAAATCTCCACACAGCTCTCCATAGTGGTGGGACCAGTTTGCACTCCCACCAACAGTGCAGGAGAGTTCCTTTTTCTCCACACCCTCGCCAACATTTGTTGTTGCTAGTTTTTTTTAAGATGTGCCATTCTCACTGGTGTAAGATGGTATCTCATGGTAGTTTTGATTTGCATTTCCCTGATTACAAGTGATGTTGAACATTTTTTCATACGCCTGTTGGCCATTTGCATTTCTTCTTCAGAGAAGTTTCTTTTTAGCTCTTCTGCCCATTTTTTGACTGGATTATTTTCTTTGTTGTTGTTGAGTCTCATCAGCTCTTTGCAGATTTTTGTGATCAGTCCTTTATCATTAGTGTTGTGTGCAAAAATGTTCTCCCAGTTGGTGGGGTTTCTCTTTGTTTTTGTTATTGTATCTTTTGCTGTGCAGAAGCTCTTTAATTTGATGTAGTCCCAGCTGTTTATCTTTGCCTTCACTATCACTGCTTTGGGTGATGTGTCTATAAAGATGTCTTTGATGTGCAAATCACGTAGTGTTTCGCCTGTATTTCCTTCTATATATTTTATGGTTTCAGGTCTTATGTCTAGTTCTTTAATCCATTTTGAGTTGATTTTTGTGTATGGTGTGAGGTAGTGGTCAAGCTTCATTCTTTTGCATGTAGCGACCCAATTTTCCCAGCACCATTTATTGAACAAACTTTCCTTGCTCCAATGCATAGTCTTTGCTCCTTTGTCAAAGATTAGTTGACCATAAATCTGTGGGTTTATTTCTGGATTTTCTATTCGATTCCATTGGTCTGTATGTCTGTTCTTGTTCCAATACCATGCAGTTTTGATGATTATGGCTTTGTAGTATAGTTTGAAGTCTGGGAGTGTGATGCCTCCATTCCCTTCTTTTTTTTTCAGGAGAGCTTTGGCTATTCGGGGTTTTTTGTGATTCCATATGAATTTCATCAATAATTGTTCTATTTCTTTGAAGAATGACATTGAAATTTTGATTGGAATAGCATTGAATCTGTATATTGCTTTTGGTAGGATGGCCATTTTAATAATGTTTATTCTTCCAATCCATGAGCAGGGGATGTTTTTCCATTTCTTTGTGTCTTCTTCTATTTCTTTTAACAGTGTTTTATAGTTTTCTTTGTATAGGTCCTTTACCTCTTTTGTTAGATTTATTCCCAAATATTTGATTTTTTTTGTTTCAATAATAAAAGGGATGTTTTTTTTTATTTCTTCTTCTTCAGATTTATTGTTTGTGTATAGGAAGGCTACTGACTTTTGCGTGTTGATTTTGTATCCTGCCACTTTACTGAACTGATTGATTAGTTGAATTAGTTTTTCTG